CACACGCCTGCAGGCTGACCTTAAGGTTTTTTTTTTACCGTTATCATTATTATTATATAGCGTAATATAGAAATAACGTGAACAAAAAGTAGGAAGCTGGCATAGAAGAAATGAGAAAATACGAAATTTTGTGGCGAAAACCCAAAGACAAATCACACTATTATAGTGAATCAAATTATAAAATATGTTCAACGATGAAAATATGAACAACGGTAACTGCGGTATACGTTTATCGCCGTGCAAACTAAGCCGGATCGATCTCAACGCGATCCACCAATAACGATAGTCAATATTGTAATATTTATAATATTAATTATTAAGGGATCTGCTCGCGTGTCTTTAATTAGGGACAAATTTTAGGCAATATGCAGTTTAGTTACCATGGCATTTGTGTCATTTTTAGTCATCAATGATGATTAGTGTGAGTGTAATATTCTATGTGCATATTTCATGTCAACGGCACCGCCGACCAAAAATCAAAATGGTAATTTTCTTCACAAAAACACGGTTTACTAGAAAAACTCTCACAGGTGGTATGATTTGATTAATTTTCTTGTTTTGTTAAAAGAGGATAACTATATGGTCTACAACACATTTCACAACGAGTTTAAATTTTATAAATTTAGTTACCTCCTAAAAACAAACATAGGAAAAATAACGAAAGCTCTCATAAAAATTGGCCATATACAAAATTGTATTGTATTATGATTCAGACCATAGAATTTTGACAATTCATAAGTATAGGATGCGCTCTGTACTAGGTTTTTCTCATTCAGTATTTCCTATAAGGCAAGTTTTTAAGCAAAACGATAAAAACAGGTCATATTAAGGATCATTAAATGAAAAATGTATATAAAAAGGAACTATATAGCTATAGTCAGTTATATAGTTAGGATTGGCACAGTTGGTAGAATTGTACCATATTATTATTATTGTGAATATTAAATATCATAGACGGCGACGTCGTCAAACGTACTCGGATATAATAATTTCACGCTATTTTATCAATACAATAATGAGACCCGACGAAAGCGTCGACAATAATAACTCATATTAGCTCGATTCGGCCAGAGGGTGCGCATAAAAAAAAAAATATTTAGCGTAAGTATGACCCGCGCGACAATGACGACGAATGAATACAATGTCGAGATTGTATAATATTTGTACACACCTATAATATTGCTATTGTGTCGTGCATACAGCGCGTACACGTTTGAAGTGATTTCGTGAAAACTRCGGAACGAGAAAATCGAAACGTGACAAAAGAAGCCCATAACAAGTCCGCCGAAAATCGTTTAAAACTTATACAATATTATTATAATAAAAGTTATTACATCCGCAACGTTCTCTTGAAAATCGGCGCAATGTTATATTATATTATTTTTTATTGTGTTCTTCCGGAAAACGCTGCGCACTAGGAAAAGACCGATGTGAAAACACGCAAATCATTGGTCGTTAACRACGTCAGCAGCTGCTCTGGGGATTGTCGGTTGCGATGTCGGACAAGTTGTGTCGTTGTCGGTGCGGACGTGACGACGACGAAATGCGAGAACCGATAAAGGTAATATTTAATTATTTCGTAAAGCTATACCGAGTAGTAGGTATATACCGTAAGGCTGCGCGMAGACTTCAACCACTGCCACCCCATCCCACCATCACGAGGTTTTTCCAGATATTAATATTTTTTTAACCGGATAGCGTGGGAGAAGAATAATAGTACAAATATTGTCAAGTCATTAATAGTGTTTTTTTTTAAGGATTACCCAAAATAGTTTTACGTGGATAATTTTTAATAAGAATATTTTTTCATAAATCATAAATCRCTGCAGACTGAAACATACAAATGMATTATCAAGACGAGTTAAAGTGCATTAATATTTAATATAATACTAAAAAACATTTTTCGTTTTTTTATTCAACAATTTACGTCACGTCGGTATTAGATTGATATTTTTAAACTCATATATGATAAACAGCAAATTTAAGACTATATAATATTATATGATTTTCGTATAAAATATAATTATTAATTATTGAAAATTGATGAAACTAGACATGTACATTTCGAGACATAACTACTTTATGGTCAARATAAAACAAGAAAAACATTATTAATAATTTACCAAATTTAAGTTAGATACCGTTAATGTATACATTCATTGGAGAAATGATTTGAGTTTGAACTTTTTGGGTATAAATTATACCCAATTCATCAGAATTTTTCATCAGCGAATTCATCAGAACTCAGGCACATAAGATAACATAAACATCCAAACTATTTTATAACATATAATATATAATGAGAGAATGTTTTTGAGATTTTTTGACTTTTCAAAGCATTATTTTTGTTTTAAAAATAAAAATACAATCTAAATAAAATATTTGTTTCACTCTACACTACATCTATAATGTAAAAAATGAATGAATGGTTTTTTTTGTAAAATTAGCTTTTTTACAAACATACAATTTATTATTTATTATCGCAATATCAGTATACATAAAATAAATATTATGTATGAACTCCATTTTTACATTATTTTTATGAACTTTTTCTGAACAGATTCGTCATATTATTATGTCAAATATAACTTAGACTTCTCTAAATTTAATAATTGTTTGTGTATTGTACACATTAAATTATTAAAACAATATTATATTGACTTTATAATTTTTTATCTGTAGGATAAAACTAAAACCTTTGATTACAATTAAAAATGTAATAATAATTCATTTGAATCATAGAATATCGATCAGTGTATTTTGAAATTCTGCACCACACCACGGTTGTGGTTTTTAATCAAACAAAATCTAATTATAAACTTAACGCTCAGAAAAATACAGACATATTATTTATTCGCTGATATTTCAATTTCAGATTTTATTTTAAACTTATCAATGGCCAATACTACACTGGTGATAAAGTTTTTTTTTACAAAGATGTCAGAAGAAAATATATTACACACAGCGAGCAGTAATATTACTTAAATATAGTTAACCTATCCTAACTGTTTCGCATAGTTTTTCCGCTACATGGAGAATAAAATACGCGAATTATTGTCCATATATGGTTTTGTTGTTATTTTTAGCACTGTAAAGAGATTTCCATCTTACAGTAGGTTATCCTTTATATTAAAGAGGTTTTACTTTACTATCACTCCATATGTCCAACAGTTATAAATAGATAATAATAATATTTTTTTTCTTATTAAACACAAAACCAAATTATATTATGTGTTCAGATGGACGATGGCTGTTATTGCTTCCTATACGTCCGAGATAAACCGACAAAGTATATAATGTGCTGTTACATATTATTATCAAATAAAGACGCTCCGAGATGGCATCTAAATTCCAAACCACTGAATCATAAATAACTGCAGAGAAGTATGTGAACACATTGCATACGTTTTAAAGAACAATTTTATTCGTGTAAAATTTTATCTAAAAGGGTTTACCTGTCCGTCCGCGACAAACGTTGCATAAAAATAAAAATTGTTCTTTTAGGATTTTATTATTTTACTGACATACGGGGTCAGACTTGTACGATAAATATGTACATAAAAGCTTTCAATATAATCAAACAATGTCTTTCGTGCGTTATTGATTTTCAAAAACGCATTCTAGCTATATTGTATTATATTCTTCGAGTGACTTAGTCCGAGTGATATTTCAATTAACTATATATAAAACATAATATTATTAAATGTCCGATGCATTTGATATTATTTTCACGACAGTAATATTATATTTATATTTGTATTTACGAAATAAAGTTGTATTATATTTGAAATGTATGATAATAATTATTTAGAAACTTTGCATAATGTATGATTAGTATACGTTGGGCGATCCATTTAACCTAGTACCTATACTCTTAATTGTTTCAAAAACTATTAAATTTTTTGAAAATATTTTTATACTAAAAGTATTTTATTATCTCGATAAGTAAACACTTTAAAAAAATTATAATTTCCAAGTTTTAACTTTTTCTTTAATGACACCATACATTTTTAATTCCTTATTCCAAAACAGAATGTTTTTCAGAGTACACATGACTATTGCATTTTTGAAAAGAAACTTAGTTGTTTTGTTTTGTCCCCGAAAAATGTTGAACAACTACTCCACCAGTGGAAACTGTAAATACTTATAATACATATAACTATTATATACTATAAATTTGATTTTTAGAGATMAAATTCTACGTAGGAATACATAATAAAAATGTTGTTGCCCTACAGAATAATAGACTTAAAAACAATTATAACGATAAGAAATATCGAGAAACATTTTTTTTTCAATAATGTTGATGTTTAACAGTTTCACGTTAATGGATCATCYCGTATATGTCTCTATTGAATTTGAAAAAATATTTATTTATGTAACCAAAACATTGCATTATCAATGTTAACTAATTTCATTTCAAAAACAGCAAATAAACTTGTCCAACAAAAACAACAAAACTAAAYATAGGAGTTTCTCTCAGTTTGACCTATAAACTTATACATTTCAATAACAAAACAACAAAAGGTAGTTTAGAATAACTATATTTATTTTGAATGTTATTCCTTCGTATGTTTTTTTGATTTGAGATGTTGAACTAAACAATTTAGCAATTGAATGGACATTAATAGTTATTTACTATAGTTATGAGTTTMAGTCAGAAATTAGAATTATTTCGAATCTATTAGTAAACATTTTTTACCTGTGAACATTTTATGATTATTTTAAATGTATTATATACACCCCCAAAACGTTTTATTATTTAAGCAAAATATCTGAAACCTTAAACGTAACAAATATCATCATTATTAATATTCGTGTTACAAATACTGCTAAACAAACTATGAAGGAAAAACGAAATACAAAATAATCAACACATATTTTAATAATAATAATAATAATAATATTAATAATACATTTTACATTTTACAATAACATATAAAAAACTTAACAAAACAAGGAAAAGACTAAAAACAATTAAAAATGGGAACAATAATAATTATGATAAAGATAATTATATTGGGAAAATTGTATCGAGGTACATTTAAAATACTTTTATGCTACGTAGAATACATAAAGAAAAACGAACAATATAAATTATAACCCTCGACGTTTTTAAGGATAAATATAATCATATTATTATAACATATCAGATTCATTTAAAATGTTAATTTTTTTTTATTGTTTACTCAGCRTGTCCTCTCGTTAAATTAAACGCGTATATACAAAACAACAAAAATCATCTAAATGAACTAACGTACATACATCTATTTCAGATATATTATCTTAATTTCATCATTTCTCACATACTTTCTCACCCTTTCTGCATATCTCTCTCATCCACGCTCTTGTTGCCTATCTTTGTTCTTTTTCTCCACATATATTATTTCAACATTAGTCTTTGTGTGCGAGACGCTTTATTATAATATCTGTATATAATATATATATATAATACATAAGTGACAACTGTGTCAGCTCAAACGACCTTATCTTACCGGATGGACATACGTACCTACACAAGGTTTATATACCACCATAATAATCATAATGTGGTGATCATAATAATAATAAATATGTAATAATAGTAATAATTATGTAAAAATACATGATCCATGATTCCACGACGGATGACTGCATTCGTCTTCTATAATGGGTGTCCGAGGGCTATGCTTCAGACTGCAGATCGTGATGAGTGGCATCAATCCTCGTGAGGCAAAGTTTATTTCAGRGAACGATGGTGAAAGGGTAGTTAGTCTTCTTGTTTGTTCCATCGGATTGGATGCGTATAGCAATGGGTAAACAGTTCGAAACGGGTGGGAGGGGCTGTCCGCCTGGAGGGTGTATATTACATGTTATAATTATAATAACAATAATAATACGTGATGAGGAAGAAGTGGACGAGGAAGTTGAGCTTATTAATAATAATTATTATATTGTTTGTAATAATAATATTTGTTTGGATTATTTTATTCTGTTATTTTTTTTTACGTTAATAATTTTGGTTTTTCAAAAATGTGTGAAAACCATATTTTACATCATTCGCCGTCGCACGGACAACAGTTGGACAACGGCCATCAAGACCAGCACGGTGACGGTCGGAATCAGTCTTGGTGTCGAATCTGGAAAAAAAATATCGCAAAAACGAATTAGTACTCTGATCACGTTTCCTTCTGTATTATTATATTCTCAATTCTTATATAATATATATATATTATACAATTTACAGAGCACAAAGACATGACACGCAATATCGATTTATTCCGCGACGATTACAAAATCTGTCATATTCCTTGCGGCCAAATATATAAGGCAAACAAATAATAATAATAAATTACGAACGCATCGAGATTTTGGAATGTATATAATATATCGTATTATTATTCGATGCTACAGATCATATTATTGTTATTTTATTATCGTCGACAAGGAACAAACGTATTTGTGTGATGTGTTTTGTATAATATAATTTGTATAAAACATAACGTAAAATACATTACTATTACCGCATAATATAATCTATGCATATAAAAATAACGTCATATAGGACCGTAGTGTTTATTTATGTTATGTAAAAATAACAGAGAAATAATTATATTTTGTACTCATCATATACCGCATTTTTTTTTTTTTTTTTTTTTTTTAATGACAATATTATTTAAATAACGAGATCAAAAAACATGCGTATAATGACAATGACATAATAATATTTTATTACGTGTGTATAGCAAACTGCAGTGTTATGATCAAACACGATCATTTCAAAATATAATCATAATATTAATTATGTCGTTTGGTCTTTTAATGGAATAGTGAAGTATTTAAAATTGATAAATTTTGAACGGTAAATAGTATAAGCGTTTGTTTGGAGACAATGATTACGATATAGATTATATTCAGTAGGCACCACAGTGTAATAATAATAATTATAATAATAATGACACTTCAATTATTTATACTTCCGTCACCGACCGTTATATTATATAGCTCAGACCTTAGACGTTGAAAGGTAATGATTAATATACACAAAATATCTTACTTAGGTAGATTTGATTGCCACACGATTTGGTTCTTGTGTGAATCAAATGAGATAAGTGCTGCGTCTAAGAACTATCGYAGCATTTTTCCTACACATCCTTATCCTAATATAATTTTAATTTTTACACGGACATCCGAACAAATTACAAAAAATAAAACCACAGACGACTTATTATTACAGCAAGTCAGCAAGGAATATTATTTAGYCTTGACCAGGACAACAGCAGAAACAACATTATTATTTTAATTCTGAAAATTTCATCATCTAAAAATTGTACCACTTGATTTCATCAGTGGATAATTTCATTCATACATTGTTTTAATGTAATGATATACGACGTATTAAATATAATATTATTATGTCAAAAAACTAGCAAACTGTAACTCTTATATTATTGTATATGATATCAATCACAACCAATAATTTTGTAAGCTTTAAAAATAAATGATAATACGTGTATGAATAAATATTACATTGGTATCACATGTGTGTAATGTGTGGCATTTTGTATCGATAAACTCACAGAGCCAATCGCAGGGCGATATAAGTATCGACAGTAATCAACAAGTCGTAGGTACTCTAACGGTTGAAATGTGATTATTTTCTCGAGCCGGTTTGTCAGAATAATGATAAACGAATAAAAGTCAACGTAACACGTCGTGGCAAACTCTTTTGAGGAGTTCAACTTTTTATGAAGTGTTTCACTGTATAAATCTCGTCAAGAGACTGTCTATTATACGAAAATGTCGGACGGATTTAGAGGGTTTATAAACTCCTCGAATTACAAAGTTCTGGGTCAGTTTGGCGTATATATCAATGTGTCCATGTGTGTCCCCTCAAAGATTATATTACTTGGAAACAATATTATTATTATTATTACTATTTTTTTCCTTTCCGACTGACAATAAATGGTCTTATTTTTATTGATCGATTTGATAGAYGTGCAGCGCAAATGATGTATAAGTATAGTATTATATAATATAGGTACGAAAAGATACATAAATTAGATTTGATCGTAACCCCTTTTGACAGGTAAAGCAATGAAGTATTATTTTTATTTTGTTTGTATTATTAAAGTTGCATTTAAATTGACTGTGATTTGTTTCCAAAACTTTCAATTTTCTTGATTAAAAATAATTTGACTAAAAATAAAGATAAAAATTAATAAAAATTAATTTAACATTTTTTGTAGTATTCAATAGAATAACGATTATATTATGGTATCATAAAAAAATRTATACTCGTCATCAATTGACAAAATTATTATAAACATTACTCAACACATGTTATTCGTGGAAATTTTAGATTCTGAGCGGAGCGAGGAATGTATTGGTTTTACAATTATGTTTATTTATTTTTCTTTTTTATTCTGTWAACACTTTAAGGCATCTATTGAAATAGATAAAGAACCACAGTAACTGTATTTTTTGTAAGCTAATTACAAACTTAATATACGCATATATGACGATTGAGTTAAAAATRAATTATTACAGTGGCCTTTACACGGTGAACATTTGCCAGATAGACTCAAAACTTACAAGTTTATAGCAGAGTGAGTTCCCTAGTTTTTAAATTACTATTTGAAATCTAAATAAAATTTAATATAATACATATTATTATTATTTACCGTTATAKATTTCAATAAATTTTAAAATTATCCCATAATATCTACATTCAGTTAGGTAAACTCGTTAAACGTTATTATATTAAAATTTAAAAAATTGATAGATTTATACAGACTGATCTATAAAAAAAATAATATATGTATTATAAACTTGTCATTATAAGTTATATTTAAACTACCTTGGGTTTATTATCCACGATTTTAAAATATATAAAATAAATGATACGATTGTTTAAAATGTGCTGCGAAATAATTGTACGGCTATAATATGTATGCGAAAGATTGTACATCATAAATTTGATATTATCGAGAACGCGTAAGTGTGCGTGTTTATTACGACTTAAAATTATTACCATGTATTTAGACGAATGTTTGAAAGTAAAATTCGTTTATCTTATGAAAATAAATCATTTTATGAATTTCAAATAAAGGTACRCGCTGTTTACTTGGTTAATCGTTGTAAATATCTCATTTATTGTATKAATGCGACGATAAATATTAAATGTTTGTATTTGTATTTGTGTCTTAAGACGTTTCTAGAAGTTTCTGGAAGACTTTCAGTGGATATTACAATAAAGAGGGATTGTATTGGATTTGAATAAAGTCAACGGGTAGTATAGGAATAGACGGCTGTTTGTTTGATACTGGGGATTGGAAAATCGGAGTGGAAAGTTAGATGGAACACCATATAGTGGTTATAAGGTCTTTCGTATATAGCTTTTGTTATTATGGATTAAGCTTAATGTTTTGATTGGAATTATAAATTATTATGTACATGTGGTGCGCATACATAAATAAATATATATATATATAATTTTTGATTAATCCCTGGACGCCACCGTGTACGAACGAACATAATATTACTATAATATAATAATATAATCATATTATTATAATAATATATGCGATAAATATTTATTTATCATTAAAACGGTATTCACATCGAGTCCACTATAATACTATTGAGTATATACAGTAGGTATGTATATGTATAACATATAGTATAATATAAATATACATAGAAAGGAAAATGCAAAACGTTTTTGTTATCTATTTTATTGAGTATATAGTGAACATTATTCTGCGGCCATCACATGGGATACGCGGGGCTTGCATAATAACAATTTATATTCTATATATGCACATGAAATACGCGGTGTATATACTTATATGCGCCTATATTATAATAATATAATAATATGTATACTACAAACATCACATTCACCTCATTGATGTAGAATAATAGGTTTGCGAGTCAGTTTATGATTAATAAATTAACGTGGAAATAGATGAATGAAATGCACGCGGAGAAACGTAACGTAAATATGTCGGTATAGGCGTTCATTGTTCACATATATATTTTATAGGTACCTATCTATCTATAGGTAGCGTTTATTATACTAAATATTATACTTATGCAGCTTTGCTGATTCGAGTGCATTATGTACATTGTACACCGATAAACTACATAAAAATCAACGRTTTAATGTTTATTATTTATGCAGCTTGAAACACAACGGTGTTTGTTTTGCACTTATCGTGTCAATAAACTCGAGTCAGCTGTGCAGTTGTCACGTCGCGTGATCCGGTTTTCAACGAATGTTGTTTGATGCGATGCTCCTATATACGAATATATATATATATATATATATGCTCGTATATGTGAACAGCCAAAGGTGGGCAAATTAATGAAAATAGTTAAATCGAGTTATGATGTTAAGTTAAGAGGACACGTCCTGATCGTTGAGTTAAAAGTTAACAGTTGACAAATTATAAATTTAATTCGACGAGTTTATATGGAAAAAAATATTAACTTATTGATTCATTTAAAAAAAAAGTCAATTTGTATTTTGAAGTTAGTATGTAAATCACATAAATATAGTGACTTTATTGTTATCTAATCCGATAAAATATATAAATTTACAAAACTATTTTATCAAAAATAAAAATAAAAAATAAATGTTTGTGTTATTATAGTACTGAATTATTTTTATATTAATATTTACGTATATACGAGTAAGCAAAAAATTTCAAAATGTTTTAACTTGATGGATTATTTTTAAATCGACCGAAAAAAACTTAGTTGTTTCAACTGTCAATTAAACTAGATAGTTAAGTTCATAAGTCGATTGAAAATAGTTAATTTAAAAAATAAAAATAATAACTTTTTTAACTTAACTTTAACTTTTTAACTAGTTAAAGCCCCCACATATTTATATAGCCATATAGGTAATATTTACATCTAATCAGACATGATCTAGTCAGAACTCTGAGGGTTTTTTCCCCATTTAAAATATGCACTTGAAATATTATAATGTAATAATAAGTACCACGCATATTATATTATACCCACATCGCTACTACAATATAATAATAAGGCTAATAATATGACGTCTTCGCAAGCTGGGCCAGTTCGTTATGTTATCCGCCGCAATTGTGCAGTTTAGATGATTGTTATA